TGATTCCAAACTACACATAAAGCTACAAACTCCCATTTTATACTAAGCCCCATCGGCGGTTTCACGGAATATGAAACGATAAGCCATAATAAATGGTCGTAGGTTTCATGACCATTGAGTTTCCTGTCATTAAATTGCATTCAATTTTAGGGTCTAACCCCTTCACTTTATCGTTTTACACTATAAGTCCTTGAAATTTAACGATTAAAAATTCCTTTTTTTTTTGGTTAATACAGAAGCGGTAAATATTTGAGAATTAAAGAAGTGAATGTGGTCCTTCATACTTTCAAGATTGGATTTGATTGATCAATGATTGTGGCTTTGACTGGTCAATAATTACGGCTTTGACTAGTCAAAATTGCAGCTATGCGAAAATAGAGAGGGTAGTTTCGTTTCTTTTACAAATAGGTGACAAATGGGTTCATATATGGACCTATGTGATTCATATATGAACTCTATGTTCATTAGTGAACTCCACTTATTTACTTCTCAAATGAATTTTTGCATATATATATATATATATATGTATATATGTATATATGTATATATGTATATATGTATATATATATGTATATATATATATGTATATATATATATATGTATATATGAGTTTAATCATTTGAGAACTTCAAAATAGTGAGATTCGTAAGATCCATCTTAAGCCACTAATTTTGGATAACTAATAACGAGATAATTAAAGAGATAACTTTTGGTTATTTATTAAATAAAAATTAATGTTTTCTTTGTGGAAAATCACATATTTTCTCTTTTTCTCTCCTATCATTGTATTAATATACATATCGTGCACATAAGGTTAACACATTGTGAACACAAGGTCAACAACCTTAATAAATTTTTTAAGTAGCGTGCTTATAAGGTTCACATTGTGTTCATAACTGTTATTTTTACATTTACCTTTATTGATTTAGTTTATGCTTACAATATATTCACAAATTATAACAAATATTTGTAGATTTAGAACGTGTTCATAATATGTTGAAAAACTATGACAATGTTTATAAAAAAAGTAGTCACAATGTGTTCACCGTTTATATTCTATTATATGTGTACGTTTATGTTATATACAGAAGATGATAGAGAGAGAGAGATGAAAGAAAAATAAGAAAAGAGGAGAGACAAAGCGAACTTTTTAATTCATATTATATTTTTTTTTCAAACTATTTTTTTTTTTGCTTTAAAATGGATCTTATAATCTCACAAATTAGCAAGCTTTCAAAGGAAGGTTTGTATATATATATATAGGGGTGGGTTCAAATAAAAATCGTTCAATTTGTAAAAACCGTGAAAACCTCATTCAACCAATCATAATTTTTCATTTTGTTTATTTTTTGTAATTTTGAGAGGTTGATTAACCATTTTTATTGTGGAGGGTGTTAATCATGCATATTATCATCTTCATTATTTTAATTTTGGAAAAATACAGAAACATTTTCATTAAAATTTCATTAAGTAGTATATGAAACAATTTCATAACCACATATGAAACAACTTCATCAAAAAAAGTATTATATGAAACAATTTCATAACCACATATGAAACAACTTCATCAAAAAAAGTATTATATGAAACAATTTCACAAGATTAACAATTTTCATGAAAAATTTTCATAAGATTAACGACGGATGAGAGTAGTTTTTACGGTTTTTACAAATTGGAGTGGTTTTCATTTGATCTTATATATATATATATATATATATATATATATTAGTTAATTACATAACAGGTTCCTAAAGTTTGATGGTGTTTGTAAGAACAAGAAAATTAAGAAAGCGGGTAAAATGACTAAAATGCTTCTCATTAAGTTGAACTTAATGAAAAAAGTTAACGATTTTCAGAAGGAGGGACAAAATCCATTGGGAATCAACAAACGTAAGGGACAAATCTGTTAAAATAAAGTTGAGGGATGAAAACCGTTGAAAGTGACAAATGTTAGGGACCAAAAGTGCACGCTATATTTAGGCATGGGAATGGTCCCCGATCCGTCGGGGAACCCAGTACACCCATCCCGGTCGGGGATGGGGATTTCCCGCTAAATCGGGGATGGGGACGGGTATGGTACTCCCGGCCCCGTCCCGTACCCGTTATATATATATATATATATATACGTACGTACATTATTTATTTCAACTAAAGCGGTAGTTCATAATTTCCTATTTCCTAACTAGGTTTATAATATAAAATTGTTATTTTTTGGATGTTAATATGTAATATTTTGGATGTCAAGTCTAAATGCAATTACTCGATAAGTTTTGTATATTACTCAATATCTTTTGATACATGTAAAATTTAAGTTTTTTTAGATTTAATTGATTTTTTTTTTGGTTTTAGGTTATTAGATCTTATATGATGTTGTGGTTTTTTTGTATTAAATTAAATTCATTTTGGTTTTAGGTTTATTGAAAATGTTTGAGATTTAAACATGTAGGTCTCTCACATATTTAATATAAAATAACTTATATAAACGAAAAAAAAATCTTCGTTTTCCCGTTGGGGATCCCTATTCCCTGTTAGGGATGGGGATAAGGATGTGATTATATTCCCCAACAGGGATGGGGACAGGGACGGAGATAGAGAAAAGTAATCGGGAACGGGGATTGAGGTCTCTGCCCCATTCTCATGCCTAGCTATATTTAATAAAATTATACAATAGAGTAAAGTTCAATTTGGTCCCTAACATTTGCAGTTTTCAACATATATTGTTCAAAACTTTAAAAACTCAAATTTGATCCCTCACGTTTGTCAATTTCCGTCGGGCGTTTGTTTTGAACCCTCTTATCAAACAAATCGTTAACTTTTTTTCGTTAAATCCAATTAAATGAGAATTATTTTAGTCATTTTTACTAGTTTCATTATATTAAAATAAAAAACATATTACATTTTTAACTTTAAATTGTTAAACAAAAAAACACGAAAGATAGTGGGTATTCTTCCTTTTTTTATAATTAATAATTAAAAATATAATATGTTTTTCTAATTTTTAGTATAAAATTAAGTAAATAGTGAAAATGACTACAATACCCTTCATTTAACAGAAAAAATAACGATCATTAAATAGAAAAACCAAACAGTTAAGAATTAATTAATGTATGGAACAAAAACTGAATTTTCAAAGTTTGACGATATCCTTTGAAAATTACAAGCATTAAAAATTAAAATAAACTTTGGGTTAAAAAGAATAGTACAGAATATATTTTTTAAATGAAGTGTCACATATTACTCTATTATTTGGGAATTAATTGCTTTTTCCTTTTTGATAAGTCAAAATAACAACCACATATACAAACACACGTGGCACACAAGTTGAATTTGTTGTCTCACAAGGCATATGGTACAACCAGTTACATTATTTTTAGGGAAATTTTTAAAAATAAGCGTTTTACACAACTCTTTGTCACAAAATAACCATATTTTAGAGGTTTTGTCAAAATAACCACTCGGATCACCTCCGGGGGCGATCCCCTTAAAAAAGTAAAAAAAAAAAAATCCTTAAAAGTCGAGATTACTGTTCACCTTGTTGACCGTGTTTGACCTCGTCCGGGGGCGATCCATACTATTCACGGGGGCGATCCGTACTGTTCACACATGAATTTTTTTTTTAAATTGAAGTTGTATTTTTTTAACTTTTTTAAAACCAAATTTCATGAGGAAAAGATTTAAAAATAAATCTTTATAATTATGGAGACGCAAAAATTAATTTTCTCTGTTTTGTGTTTCGAAAATCAGATATAATATCTGATTGACGAAATTTGACCTCTATTTTTTTGTTTTTAATTTT